AAGACATAGTGAGATTTTTTAGGCTTCACAGAGCTTACTTTAACAACAGGTAAATAAAATTTAGAATACAAAATATGAATTACGTATAAGATTTCTTTTCATATATATGTACGCAGTCTTTAGTCATTTTAAAACGTCTCGAAGGCAAGGGTATTTCATTTCCTTCTTTACTAATGTCCAGTAAAATTCAACGGCCACGATAAATATCTTTAGCAATAAGAGTTTCATTCTAGAGTTTATATTTATGCAATACGTTACATGAAAGACAACGTAACGCGTTTTCCACACACGCAAAGCGAATATGAGCCTGTCTCCCTCTGAAAGCTGACATTCATAAAATCAACACTATAGCATCGATACGACGTAAAAATCGATAATGGCATAAAACTGACACTGAGATATGACAGATATTTCAGCAGAATCTTGATTAACAGGGGTAATACTGGGAACGACTTGCATGGTCAATGCAAAATCACAGTTAATCCGAGAAAAAGTTAAAAAAAGGTAAAAAAATAATATAATTAACGTAAAAATATTACCAAGAATTTATTTTTATTTTTAAGAAGTTTAATCTAAAGGAATAAACTCCTTTAATTATATAAATTAAATCAGTATTAAAAAGATAAAGGACACACTACAGATAACGAAAGAGTAAGAAACAAAATAACAACTGGAATTAAAGAACAGTATTTACAAGATAGCTTGAACAGCATAAATCAAAGTAGGACAAAATGATTAGTCAGAACTTTTTGATTTTTTGGTCGCTCCCCCTTCCTTTTTTTTACTTCTTTGTACGAAGTAAAGGAAGTATTGCAATCGCGAAAAAATTCGGGTATCTTTTTTCAACGAAAATATCAATTTTGACCGCTCTCGAATTCATTTGAACGATTTTTTGCGTGACATCTGTACGTACGGACAGAATAAAGGACTCGTTTTCCCAAAATGGATTCAGAAGAGTTTTTTTTTCGTAACGTCTATACGTACGTACGTATGTATCTGCATATCTCAAAACTGAGTAGTCCCGGAATGTTGAAATTTTGTATATGGGACTGCTATAACACGTAATTATATTTAAAAAAATTAAAAAAATTCTTTCAAATTTCGATTTCGACTTAAGGAACCTCTGCAGCAGAGATGGGTCAAAGCCCACATAGCAGGCGTTATGAAATCCTGCGTAAAGACATTTACACCTGTTTTCTAAATGGTTTTGTACGGAAACTACTGAAATCGACAGTATGAGTATACGCATTCTATTGTTACAGTGTATATACGCACATATACTAGAGATCAACCTAAGTTGAGAGCACTGGATATGCTAGAAAGCATATAGTACATCCGCCAAAGAATTTAGTCCTGTCATTTTTAGCAGCTGTAATTTAGAAATTAAACAATGACATGTAAATATTGTTGAGAAAAAAAGATTGAACAGAAAATGGAGCTGAGGACATGAACTTTTTAATTTTTACATGAAAATGGAACAATATACAGGAAGTCTATAAGTAAAGAACCTTATTTTAAAGCTGTTTATAAGCGAAACCAGTGATCAGAAAATTGTGAAATTTTGTGGCGGATTTAATGAAGGGATGAGAACGTCTTTCAGCGAAAAAAAAATTAGTTACAAATAGCGTCACCAGAGGGCATTATATTAATAAATTATAGATTTAGCCACACCTTTACAATAGTTTTACAATTTTATAAATTTTGCTACAAAATAAACATGTTCCGCATGATGGCCATCATTTTCAGCTACCATCTGAAATCGCAAGATGGCATGTTCCACAGTTGACCGAAGTGTGTGCTGGGAAATGTTCAGCACGCGGCGTGAAATGCTGGCTTTAAGATCAGAATAAAGTTCTTGGTTTGTCATGACTTATCGGATGTTTCAAATGTTCCCAAAGCCAAAAATCGCAGGGATTAAGGTCTGCGGATCGGAGAGGCCTCACATTAGGAAAATGCCAGCTGTTTTGGTAAAACAATTTTACTGACAAAGCGGTATCTCGTAAACTTATCGTCATAGTGAGCAACAAGCTCAGTGAAAACAAAGTCTCTATGAATGCTTCTATGTTTTATAACAGCTGCTGCATGAAGTCGACAAAGATTTACATTTTTACTACAGGTTTTCAAAGTAAATCGTCCTCAGGTGACGCTATTTGTAATTATTATTTTTTTTTTTTTCGCTGAAAGACATTCTCATCCATTCATGTTCGCCACAAAAATTCACAATTTTCTGATCACCGGTTTCGCATGTAGGCAACTTAAAATACGGCCCTATACATATAGACACCCTATACATACCAATCATTTGATGACAAATAGAAAGATCTTCCGCTTCACAGAACTTGGGAATAAACGACAGGATATTTTTATGGATTAAGAACTTCTTATCACAGCGTTTTTCTGCTGTTAGATATGGCTGTGACATTTCTAGATTTAAACAGACTGAAATTGGCCTCCCACAGGGAACATTCATCAGCCCAATTCTTTTGAATGCTTTTATTAACGATTTACCGAAGACTCTGGCACCGTGGATGGGTTCTGCCCTTTTTGCCGAGGATTTGGTTATCTGGAGTAGTGCTTCTAAAAAGAAGCAGGATGGTTTAAATGCCTTAACTTTGAAAGAGCAGGAAATTGGTGCCAAAAATGGTATGAGATCAGCATACGAGCACGTGCCAGTTCTTCACCCTGAACAGACTTTTACCCTTAAGTTGGCATTTAAGGGTGTAGATGTTCAACATAATCATTCGACGAAATATTTAGGTTGCATCCTCGATTCACGTTTAAATTGGAAATAACATGCGGAACATTTGAAAAATATAGCCGTAAGAAGACTCGTAAAACGTCTGACTGGCTCAAGGTGGGACTGTGACAGAGAGACCTTGATGACTACTTGCAAATTATACATTCAACCAGTTATTGGTCATTGTAGCGAGATCCTTATCACGGCTCCGAAGAATGTAGTCCAGATCCTAGCAGTCTTCCAGAACAAAGCGTTACGCATAATTACTGGGGCAGTGAGATCTACTCCTATTCTTGCAATACAGCTTTTAACCGGTTTGGAACCTGTTCATGATTGTATTAAGAGCAAAGCGATCCTATTAATACCAGAAGCTGGTGCGTTTGCCCTACAAGCCTTTTTGAAGGAACTATAATAACGAAATTTCTAGAAATCTTAAAACTCAAATTCGCTTTATACAGGCTGCTCAGAGAGAATCTGAAGATTTGGAATTGAGTCCAGATTATCTAATTTTACTTCCTCCCATTGTCCTTTATACTTTTCGAATATACATCTTGATCTTATTCAAAGAGTTGTTAAAAACGAAATGAGCGATTCACAATTACAATCTATTACAGCGGAAACTATTGTGGTTTCTTATCCTCAAAATGAGTGGTTGTATGTCTACACAGACGGCTCTATGTTAGAGAGGAAGCGCGGTGGAGCAGGCATCCATAGCGAGCTTTTTAGTTTCTACTTACCAATGGACCCTCTTGCTACTGCTTTTGATGGTGAAATCGAAGCTATTGCTGCTATTGCTAATCGAAGCTATTCAACAGGTAACACCAATGTGTACTAGGGCACTTTATCTCATGGAATAATAGCTGCATGGTTCATTACATCATCGGGCATCTAGCTATCCCAGACCACATTGTGCAAACTTAGTTTCCAGAGAATCTCAGCAAACCCCTCTCTCTTTTTTATATATTTTTTAAGCAATTTGTACATTTCTCTTCCCAGCAATTATGTTTTTAATTACCTTTTCAACTTCGATTTCACATTTAGAACCTGCAGTGTGCACAAAACGGTGATTCCTTTAGTTACGCCGTTACTTTTATGTCTTTGCTCTTTTTCTTCTTTTTTATAACTTCAGTGCTATTTGTTCTACGGCGCAACAGTAATAGATGGCAACTGCAGAGAAGATGATAATGCTTCTGGCAATGGCACACAGAATTTCTTTCCAACGGATTCCAACCCACTGTTGAATGAAAAAGCAGATACTTTGGCTAAGAAAGGAACTTTCATAATGCAATGCATTAATCGACCGCTTTAATTCCATACAACTAAACTGTTTTTAACCTGACTCTTAAGGAAATTCTTAAGCAGCATATGATTCAACATGCTGCGGATAAGAGTTGGAGGATTCCGGGGTAAGAGACAACTTTCATTCCCAGTTTTCCAAGAAAAACAGCGGTAGCTCTATTTAGATGTCTGACTGGACATGACTGTTGCGAGATAACTTCTAAAAATTGGAGTGGTGGATTCCCCAAACTGTCTTTTATGCGACTCCAATCAGCCTATGATTTTTTAGCATTTAAATAACTGTATTGCACTTTCTCGGTACGAGGACATAGTTAAAAAGTACTAGACAGACCGTGAACTAATCACTTAATCGCTAATGTTTGGCATTTGTAAAATAAATAAATAAATATTCCGCTTCGGATGTTTTTGTAATTGTTCAATTGAAATAGTATTTTCTAAAAAAAAATTCTGCCCCATCGCGTCTTGCAAATAATATGAACACCACAAAAGATCGTCCCGGCCCTGCCCACGTGATGTGCTAGAAAAGACCTTTTTGGTCCGCCAAGTATTTGCCCTAAAGGAAATGCAGTGAACTCTATAGTTCCGCTGAACACAGCTTGAAGATTACAGTTTTAGACAATGATCTTAACCGAAAGTCCTAATCAAAACAAACCCAATATTGACATATTTAGAATAAAATTATTTCTATACCATATTTTAAAAATCGCAAAGGTAGCTTAACAAACAAAAAAAAAAAAAAAAAAAAAAAGGTTTATAAAATAGGTAAAAGGAAACATATAATAAAACATACAAAAATTAGATGAACGGCTTCTGTTCCAAGTTTTTCTTTGGAATATAAATCATTAAAAAATAATTAAATATGACAAATTTAAAGGAAGTGAAAAGAAAATTCCGATATATTGCCATTCAATCGAAAAGAGCGTTCATGCAGGAATGAATACACCACATAAGGAACATGTACTACGTCACAACGGCTTTTGTTGACATTGTTCAAATTCAGCCTGTACAAGCGATCCCTGAAAGGAAATAGAAAAGAATAAATGTTAATAATTATTCAAAACCTTAAAAAAAAAAAAAAAAAAAAAAAAAAAAAATGCACAGAAATAAAACTCTTTAAAACAGGAATTATATATTGAGAGCACAGTTTAATTAAGAATGCATGCAAATTAGATCTGATCAAAGGGAAATTAAGGTGGAAAAAAAGTCAAAATGACTTTCAATTAAATACCGACTTACGAGCCTCTAGAAAGAAACAATTGAGCGAAAAAAATGTAAATGCAATTGTTTTTATCCTCGTACATTTTATTAAAGAATTCGGCATTGGAAAATAAATTTCAAATGAAGCATACAGTGAGCTCTAAGATGGAAAGAATGTGGAATAATTAGAAGCTTCAAATCGTTTTGGAATAATAATTGCACAACTGAAGATACAGTTGCAGTTTACAATTCCAACTTCTTCTTTTGATCACGTAAATGCTATTGGAAAAGCCTAACGGGCAAGCAATAAATAGCTAATGGATTTTAAATACTTAAACAGGAATTAATTTAAATTAAACCGTTAGTTATTAACAATTAAGTTCCAGATCAACTACCAATTAGCCCTATTTAAAAATTCAGACGGAAAAGTATTTAAATTGGTTTTAATCTCGGAAAAACGGGAGCAAAAGAATTTCATTTGCTACGTGTTTTTCTGTTTGAATCCCTCCAACAATAATACGTATAAAACTGCTCGGTCTAGCGTAACTTGATTACGATTATTTATAAACGAATAGATTTCACTATATTTTCCTTATATTTTATACAGGGTGTTTCATAGATCTTGGGACCAACTTGGAGGGGTGGTGGAGCGTACTAAAACATGCATTTTTTGTATAGGAATGTCGGATCTAAAGCGACGGGTTAAGGCAGGAACGCAAAAAAACGACACGAGAGGAAAATGTGTTTATGTACAAAATTCAACGCGAAGTGCTTCTTTGGCAATCCAATATTCAAATAATTTCAAAAGGGAACACTAACAATAATAGGAACTACATCTGGATAGGCTAAATGCGCGGTAGAGGGCGACGTGAGCCGGACAAACCACGATCCGATGCATCACAAAATCATTCGCAACTCTGATGTCGACGTCTGGGTGAGTTTTACGCCAGGGAAAGCTGACATGCATCTCTGTTGGTTTGCTCATGGAACGGCAAGCAGCGCTACGATTGTACCAGGAAGGTTTCCGAAAGACTATAAGAGCACCAATGTTCTAGATGTTCATCGGTCTCTGTGTGAAAACGATCATTCGAAGCCACCTTTGACACGGAGTGAAGAAGTGCACACAACCTCGCATTGAAGAATTCATCTTGAACATTGCGCATGATCACCTCACAAGTACAGAGCTATTGCACTTCGTCTGCAGCTGAGTCATTCCATCGTTTGGAATGTATTGCATAAATGTTTGCAACCCATACATTTGCAGAGTCCCAAGCCTTGCAAAAGACAGATTACCCTCTTCGGTTCATTTATGTCATTGGTTCTTACAGCATGTGTGGCGCAGCGGATTTCCCATCAATGTGCTATTCACCGACGAGGCAACTTTCTCACAGACGTCATCTTCATCCACAACACGCACGTGTGGGCACTCATAATCCACACGGCACCGTCCACATGCTTCCAAACCCGCTTCTCCGTTTGGGGCGGGTATTGTTAACGACTACCTCATAGGCCCATACCTCTTACCTGCACGTACAAATGGATTACGTTTTCATATTTTCTGCAAGAGGTGCTCCGAAATTGCTGCAAATTGTTCCGGCTGTCGTTCGTGTCGCATGTGATTCCAGCAATGAACACCACAAGCACTTTTATCTCATGGAATATAGCTTCTAGGTGCACCAGCCCATAACACATGCGGTCCGCATTACTTGGATGGGACTTTCCGGCCGATGGATTGGTCGTGGTGGACCCGTTCGAATGGCCAACCCGTTCGCCAGATTTTATCCAACTTGGATTTTTTTTAGGTATCGAAGAGCATCATTCACGAGACTCCCGTTACTCACTGGAAGACCTCGTTGCACGACTATCCATTGCAGCTGCAAGCGTGCCGATGCTGTCGTTTTTTCAAAGTGTTCGTCAATCCCTTCTGCGACGTTACCAAGCATTATTATTGAATTTGATTTATTGTGAATACCTATTGCAACAAAAGCACTTGCTTTGATTTTGTACATAAACCATTTTTCTCTCGTATTTTTTCACGTTTCTGCCTTAACCCGTCACTTTAGACCTACATTCCTATATAAATATATATATTTATAAAACATGTTTAAGTACGCTCCACCACCCCTCCAAGTTTGTCCCATGATCTATGAAACAGCCTGTATTAAATGCCGCGTATAAGTTGATGCACCACAAAAATTATTCTAATCATAATTAAAGGGCTGTAGATAAAATACAGACGCTCTGATCATTTTCACTTATATATATTACGTTAAAAGGTATTTCTACCGCTTTCCTAGCGTGCGTTTGTGGTGTAGTCGTTCTGCACACTGGGTCGGTATTCAAGAGGTACGTGGTTCGATTCCCGGCGCAGGAGTTTGCTCATTTTTCATCTTGACTGCTTCCAAAAATACCTAATGTCTCTAGAATGTATATAAATCATCTTTAATGATTAATAACAATCACATCAGACCAATGAGATCCCATTGCCAAGATTAGCATGCCCTTCAGGTAGATGACGAATCGAAGCTTAAAAAAAATCAACAAAATACTGTAAAGGTAGGATTTTTAAAACCTCTTCTATATCTGAAAGGACTGCTGTGCTACTTCTCACGAGGATTAAGAAAGTAAATAAAACTGAATGCATCTATCCAAAAGCCATCAATATCACTTTGACCCACAGAAATCTGATCTTAAGTCCTAAATTTTAGAACATACAGAAAGTAACTTATAATTAAAAATAATAAAGCAAATAAAAACCAAAGGCATTAGGTTATCGGAACACAAAGGGGGCAAAAGCATAGCTGTGTTCCAGTTTTTGAATTTTCTTGGACAAGACCATTCACTATAAATGGAATCGGAAAGACATGAAACGAAATAAGGTACTGAAGAAAACAATCTGCCCATAACGATTTAGGCTTGCTCTCAGAAGAGAGCGTTATGTCCCTTTCGATGGCCAACGCCCTGACCTAGGAGTGGGAGGGACAGGTATAAAATAATAATCGAATAATTATATCAGACAGACAATTCGCTGTCTATTCAAAAGCAGCTGCAATCGACTGCTTGGCCAGCACCCGTGTAGAGCAATATTTCACTCCAACAAATGCAAGTATGATTCATGAGTGTATTACAGTTTCTAATTAACCAGTATAATGGTTAGAAAAGAACCACCAAAACACACACACACACACAAAAAGTAAAAACATAAGTGATTATTAGAACAATAATAGTGACAAAGGGACCAGAATCTTCTAAATGAGTTAAATCGTACACTCTGTTTTGTCAGAAATTGTTCAATTCCGTAATTCCTCATTTGCAAGTCTTTCAGTTTTGGCTAGAATTCGTACGACCGACACTGTTCACAAACGAAAATGGACATTCTACACTGAAGCGTTCATATACCTTTCTGTCTTAAATGAATATATATATATATATATTAACATGAGGCTCTGTCAGCACAGCATCGGCACGACATATGTGTAGGATCGACTCTCATTGCATTGAAATCGACATACCTTCGACACTGGCATAGCATAGAGAAAGTTTATGATTAACAACGATGAGTAATCAAGAAAGGAAGAATTTGATTTAACTACAGTTTTTAGGCTATTTCTGCAAGATCAATAATGGTGTAGACTGCAACTAATTCCTGAGGTATCGTTTCAATTCTGTGTCGGCAAAGAACCTATCAATCAGACCAGCAAAGAAGCAATAGCAATCCCGTGTCGCATTTTTAAGCTTTTGGTTATAAGCACTGATATGTTTTATCTTCGTAACACGTAAACTGCTTTGCAACACAAATAACCAAGTATTACTCCAATTACCCGAACTCCGACAACACGAATCGCTTTTAGAATAAGGTACTCTTTCGCATCGGTCATTTTGTTTTGTTGTTTGTTTTGTTTGGTTTGTCAGTGTGCTTCGTCGTTCATCAGACCTTCCAAAAGAAAATGTTTTGTGTTATCGTTAGCAGATAAACTAAAACTTACAGAGCAATCAGATAAATGAGTTACGGGTAAACAGTTAGCTGAGATGTACGGTGTTGGACACTCAACGATTTCAGACATTTATGAGCAAATAGTGATAGTGTGTGATTCGTGAGACCCTGGGTTTTAAATTCTAAATGATGATGAACTTACTGAATGTGTGCGAAAAGAAAGTGTCCAAAGATGACCTCAATGTCGAAGTTGAAGCAGACACGGGACCACTAAAAGGAGGGTAAAGAGGGCCGTAACCTCAAAAATGAAATATATACATGATATACTCGTATAAAAATGACAATAGCTTACTTTGACCAAGGTATTCAACAAGCAATGACTTTCAGCACTCGTAAATACCGTACAGTACGCTATACAATATATACGTAAAAGTGTTGCCTTTTCATTTTAATAATTAAAACCTTTTTTTCTTTAAAAATAGTTTCCCCTATTTTCAGCATACAGTACATCCAGCAGGGCAGACATAAGCACAGAACTGCGGCCAATCGAAGTTCTAAAATCCAGCTTCTAGAATCGGCGATTATTCCACAACTAAACGCTTCTTCAATTATCGAATAAACTACGTTGAATTATAATCCAGTGCAGCTGAGTTAGAAATTATTAAGGCCGAGAGGTAGAAAATCATATGCAAATATTAATTAAAGACATGGATGATATAACTGATGAATATGAAACAGTTGCTCTAGTATGAATTAGGTTTGCACGGCCGAAAATCGTAACACACAGCGATTGGGGCTTTTGACAGCCACAAACTCTTCCAGTATTAAGCAGAAAAAAAATTATGTAATTGATCTGTATGTTCCTTTGTTTACGAATGCTCATTT